TGACAGCTCAGGTACAGCCCCCGTGACAGCTGTAACAACTGCGGATGCAAATCTACGAGTCACACTCTCCATCTCAAACATGCTTCTCCGGGTACATAGCATGGAGCAGGCTGACTGCCTCTAGATAAGTACAGAAGCTTCCAAGAAAATCTTGGCTTTAATGGGAATATAGGGGACATAAAACAATGTACATGATTCTTAACAAAATCATCTTTTCTGCATCCAATTAGTCTTTACCTAGCAGCACTAATTTCACCATTTGGCAACTCATGTTCCACCTGAATTGTAATAGGCAGGTCCCTGAGAAGTAATTTTGCCAGATAGCACATCAATTCATGTGCTTCCAGTTTCTAGGAAGGGATTGTGTAATCTACAGCCACATTGGGTGCACCTGCCATCTATCAAAGTCCCTTGTGGACTTTGGCCAACGGCTTACACTACAGGAGGCACTAACCATGAAGATGTATTCCCAGTCCCCATTGCAATCATACATACTTTCATGCTTCATCAATTTTCTCACAGTTTGAAATCAAATAAAATAGGAATCCTTCTCATAGATCTGTGACTGTCCTACAATTATGTAACAAATTGAAACATGTGCAATCTCACCTGCCAGATGTTTATGGCCAGTTTGTTTGGATTACACAGCCCCCATCCACCAACTTGAAATCATGAGACTTGGGCAAGTTGCATGTAAGATGTTTCAAAAAATGATTCTGAAATCAAAAATATGAAAGGAAAAAAAAAACTGATTTGAAAAATTTGCAAAAAAAATACAGTTAATGCACTTTTTTCAAAGGTTTTAGGCCTCCTTTGGCAGCAATGTATGAAGATTTTTGCCCAAAATCCTGTGTGATATCTGATCAGGTCTGCAAACACTTGATCATATTTCACAAGAATTCAGATTACATTACTCAATTATATTGGTGCCAAATGAGGCCTTCATAATATTGCTCCAAATGAAAAAAAATGCAAATTGGATTATGGTATGCTGGAGGAATGATAATAAATGAATATTTAAAAAAAAAATACCAGATGGTTTCAAACTGGTGTGGAGTGAGGCATTCATCAGACTCATAGTCGTAAATAAAGTGGAAAAGGCAGGGTGATCAAATTCAGCTTGCATTTTGACCTGGATACTCAGCTCTGAAATGATTTCAGGAGTAGATTTTTTTTCATTTATTATCATTCTTCTTGCATACCATCCTAATCTTTCCAATTTTTATTTAAATGTGGAGCAATATGAACTCTGAAAAAAA